CCCCAAAACCCCAAAACCCCAAAACCCCAAAACCCCAATTTCATTTTTAAAAATTGAAATAGTTGTTAAGAAATAAATGGAGCTCAGAAATAATCTCTCTGGATCAAGGTCTTCATCTCTTCTAAAGTATCAGAAGAGGAAGATGATTAAAGATAGAAAGAATTCTGGTAAAGACATTCTCTCTGGATGCCTCTCGATGCAGTCGATCAATTTCCAAGGAGGTATTGGCGACTTACTTAAAAATAAAGTCAAGAATTGAAAGAGCAAATCAAGAAAGAATATCATCAGAAAATCCAGCCTTAAAACTGGAGAGTTTTGTATCAAGCCAAATAACAGTAAACGGGAATTCTGGAAAAATAATCTCAGCAGTTCCAGAAATGCTGACTCAAGTGCATCTTATAATCAGATAACAAAAGAAGACAGCAATTCATCAAGCCAATACACAGAAGTTTCAAATAATAAAGAAAGTCAATGAAGGAACATTGTTAACAAGAATTCAAGCCTCTCTGCTTATTATGAGACCTCTCCAAAGAATATCCACACCCAATACCGTAAGCCTGGTTCTCCAAATACGACATTCAGGAAGCATGGAAGCAAATAACTGCAAAAAGAAGGACAGCACTTTGTACAAAGACCTTCTTCTCAAATTTTGAAAGGACATAAACTGTAGCACTGAACTTATTTCACAATGAGTTTCTAAATAAACAAGGTTACAAGAAGTTCCTGACCAACGGTGACTCTTGCTTAGACAACCTCAGCAAGGCTGAATTTAGCAAATCAATTTCAAAAATTCACTCAAAATTGATAACAAGATGTGAAGACAAGTGGAAAAACCACTCTGATATCCTCCAGGGCTCCCTTCAGACACTAAAGACAGAGAATGAGGAGTTGAATAGTAAGCTCCAGAAAACAACAACTGAAATGCAAGATTTAATTCAAAGACTTAATAATTCAAATAGTTTGAAAGAACTAAGGGACTCCTCAGTATTTAATTACACCGATGATGATATTCAGCCTAAGAACTTAAGAGATTTTCTCCCTCCTGAATCATGAAGTTCCGGTTTCCTCTCCATTCCAAAAGAGAATAGTTTCGAAAACACATTCGAAAGTATTGAAGTTCGGACTAGCTATAACGAAACATCTCAATCTATGTCTCTCATCAAAATCGAAGAGCCAAAAGCTAAGAACGTCTACGACTACAACATGAAGAGCGAAATCTGCTTCCAAAAATTCAAAAATCCAAAAATTCCTCCAAAACCGCTCTGCGACATCACCAGCCAGCATCCCTCCAATTCCATCCTCTCTAACCTCCAAAACAACATGCAAAAATTCACCCAGTACCACGCTGGCCGGAACCACCCTCTCTTCTGCTCCAGAAGCGCTTCTATAACCCACCTGTAATCCTTCCTCTCACCTTTAGTAACTCCAGACCCACCCCTCTCTCCAAATTCCCCGACCTCTACAGCCAAATCTCCAGTGAAGACATCGAACTCTCCCTCTCCTCTAGCGAATACCACTCAAATCCAGCCAAGACCCATATAGCCACGAACAAAAGGGCCAACTCTGACTTCTGCTCGCCTACTTCTCCTATAGGTCATGACTTTGTTCGGTGTGCGTCACAGGAGTCCCTCCAGAGAGGGACTCCTGTTCCTGTAAGCCAGGAACAGAAGTATCTCTATAAGGAGAATCTGTTGTCACAGAGGGAGGTCTTGAATGAGCGGCTGAAGAATTAGAGGGTAGAGGGGTGACTAGAGCAAAGGAGGGTAAAAGGGGTACAGAGATTTGATACAAAAAAGGAGTATTATTATAAATAATGGAAATCCCAACAAATTATAAAAGCAAAGGGGTTTTGGGGTTTTGGGGTTTTGGGGTTTTGGGGTTTTGGGG